GCTGCCTTGTATAAGAGGCGAGGGACACGTCTGGATGACAGCTTCTCGCCCAGCCAAGCCTTCTCTTCCTGCTCCTTGCAGCCACCGACATGTAAACTTTCATGCCACGGAGTTGAGCTTGTTTGTTTGTTTGTTTTGTGGGTGGGCGTGCGGCATCTGTTGTCTTTCTTACTCGTTGGGGGCCAGATTATTATTTGCATATATTTGGCATATGCACGCACACACACCCCTCAAGTTTCCTTTTGTCGCCCAAGATGAGAGATGGAATCGGGGAGCTAATGGTGGCAGGGACGACATGGGAAAATAGCTTATACAACCGTGTTGTGTATGGTCTTTATTATTATTATAATTATTATTTTGGAGAGTCTTTTTCTATTTGGGAGTCACTGCCACTGATGAAATACTTATTTGGGGCCCTTGAAAAGTTGTGTCACACAGTTTGTAGCATCAAAATTTCTTCTGGTGCAGAAGGGCACGGGTGACCGCTTCCAGTGTGCCCATATAAGCACATAAGAAAAAAAGTTAAGCAAATCTTCATCACAGTTTCACAATTTACGTTCCTTTTCCCTGAGAGGGTTTTAGAAGTATGTAAAATGTTCAAGGAGTGGTTTACCATTATAGTAGTTAGTGGTTACTTACTGCTTCCATTCTTTTACTTACTAAGCATCCTTCAACAACAAAGAATGGGACATTGCAGCAAACTCAAGACGATGTGAGGATTTGAATCCAGCACACTGTGAGCTTCACTAAAGCACAGAGTGCTTAGTCACAGTGACTCCCCAGAGAAGAACCTCTTTGTGCTGTTGGCTGATTACCCCCCTCCCCAATTCTGACTCAAAGTTACAATTTTTCCTTTCATAATGGGAGGTTACTTTTTAAAAAACTGCTTATTAGGCAGAACTTCAATAGATATTATTTTTCCACTGTGGATAATATGCAGTGACCTGGGAAGTTGCAGCTACTGAATTTGGATCACATAAAGGTACAGTGCCTCTGTTAGGGGTGTAGCGTAGGACAGGAGGCCAAAACAAAAGACAATGGTAGTCTGTTGATAATTAGGGAACAATCTGTATCTGTCACCTTATTCCCTTCTTAATAGTCCCAAACTGCAATCTAGGATCAGGCTTGAGGTTAGTAAAGTCAGAGATTCACCTAGCCGTGGTAAGGTTTAAGACTGACCTATGGCATTGACTCATTCAGACTTTGTTCCCGATGCAAAGCTCTTGCATTATTCCTATTCATCACTTGTAGGCAGCCTGTTATAAAACCCCAGCTCTGAGTTTGCAGTGACTCAGATAGAGAGCACAGGTGTTCTAGAAAAAAAATGCAAACAAAATGAGCCAGACGAAACTTGCAGGTGGAAATATTGTTATCAGACTGGTTTCCAGTTCTGTTATTTCCTTTTCATGTGGGGCTTTTGTCAATGGGCGGGGGAGAGGCTTTTCAACCTTACCCACACACTGTTAATTGCAAAATTAACAAGAGTAAACCTAGGACATGGTCTTTCTAGGACCTTGTCAGCTGCACAGGAATAATGTGCCTGGATTTTAGGTACTTCCTATGTACAGCTCTCGCATGATAAATGAGAAACTCTCAGGGCAAAAAGTGAAAATAACGATAAAGACTAGGTCCCAACTGAGTCTTGTCTGGGCTGTTTTTAGCTCATCCAATGTGATGAGTTAAGCTTAAAAAAAATCTAAAGCAACAGCAAAAACCCCAAACCTTAACCACAGAAGGAGTTTTCTTTATGAAAACTATTCTCCTTGAAAGGACTAAAGAGTCTGGGGTGCCAAAACAAACAAACATAGATAAAACCTAACACAATAATTCACCCAAGAAACGTACTGCTGGTTTTCTTTTGTTTTTGTTTTGTTTTGTTTTGTTTTGGAGTTACAGTGTGCTTTTTTTTTTACCCGGACTGTGGAAAAGTTTAAGACTTTTTTTTAAAAAAAGACTCCACTTAAGGATTCTTCTTCTGTAACCACAGACATAGTTTTGGACTGTATCCAACACTGGATTTCCACTAGTGGAAGAAAGGAATCCAGGACAACAGTATATGTGATTTTCCCTTCCTATTGCAACCTTTCCCCTGTACACCCCCAAAACCTGCTCTGAAGGACTGGGATCCCTGCCCACTGGTTTTCAGCAAGCTTCTAAGCTGTAGCAGGGAGAGGAAGGAAGGGAAGCAGTCTTTCAGTTGTGTACATATATTATGCTGGATTAAAGCCATAGCTTTTGCAATATTTTAGTACCCTGTGATAAATCTGGATGCAGTTTGGAGCCCTAGAATGGTCCAAAAATGTCCCTGTAGATTTCTGTTTTGCTTATGGAAGATTAATCTATACACTGTTTACTTTGACCTAAGTCCCAGGAAACCTAGATCTGTCTAAGTGGACACCGCAAGTACTGAGGTCTAGCACATGGAGCAGGTATGGTGAAGCTGTGGTCTTGCAAGTGGTGCTGAGCTGCACCTCATCCCATCACTTAAAAGCCATTGGCCACAGTAGCTAGGACTGATGGGAGCTAAAGTCCAGCAACATCCTCAGGGCAACAAATCCCCCACTCCTAACTAAAAGAGCAGGTGCAAAACACAACAAAATGATTTTACTGCGATCATTGGCCACCATGAAACATACACTGCTAATTGGGAAATAAATCTGTTGTCTGAACTTGGTGATAAAACATTTTCTGCTATTCAGTGTTATCTTTTCAACTAAATTATTCTCATTTATTTAGGAATTAGTAAATGTCTAGTAAATATTTCATTCTAGAGATAACCGTTTTCTTTTTAGCACATGTGCAACCAGTTTTTATTGCTCTGATGGTAGAAAGATCTGAAACCCATACTGTTGAAACCCATTAATTTTGCAATAAGTCACGGGTAGGAGTGGAGAATCTGCCAGTCTCCATCCAGCCCACATCATTCTTGACTGTTAGTTATGCTGACTCCAGTTGATGGGAGCTGGAGTCTCATGACATCTGGAAGGTCATAACCACAACTGTGGGTATGTAGCCTAAACTGTTCTCCAAAGCACTTAGCAGCTTGTCCATCATGGCATTCCTTACCCCCCCCCCTTGTAAACACATAAGCAAATGTGTGCACTATACACAAGCTGAAAAACTCTAATCTGGAACAGCAGATCTTTGCTCAGAGAGTCTACCACCTTCTTGGCTGAGCTGCGAATTGCGCACTTTGCCTGGATAGTTTCAGTCACCACCACATCCGGACAGTGGCCTTGTACCTTCATTAGCCGTGAGGTGACAAGGAACAATCCAACAAGGGCAGTTTCCCCGGCCACTTTACGTTTCTTCCAGGAGGATCTCTCTCTCTCTCTCGGTGTGTGGTGTGTGGTGTGTGGTGTGGTGTGGTGTGGTGTGGTGTGGTGTGGTGTGGTGTGTGTGTGTGTGTGTGTGTGAGAGAGAGAGTGTGAGTGAGTGAGTGAGTGAGTGAGTGAGTGAGTGAGGGATCTCTGTGACAGTAAAGGTGCTTCCTTGGGGGGAGAAGAAGTTACATGTGCTTTGCAATATTGCCTGTTTGATAATGTGGTCTCTTACCAGCATACAGTTTCAACAGTGACATTACAGTACATAGATTACCATAGCATTTTCATAAAAGCTCACCAAACTAGACATTGGTCCTTTTAACTGTTGCATTTATTGTTTTATTTTTCTTCAGTTCATAACTTCCTTGTACAGTATGACTCTCCTGGTCTACTAGGCATCTCAGACCTCCTTATACTCAGTAGGCATCTTAAAAAAAATATTTCAAGAAATACATCTTAATTAACCTAAGAACAGAAGACAGTCTACTCCCCCCCACACCTGACCCCTGGTTGCACCTGCTGTAATAACTTTGGGAAGAAACAAATCTTTCGACTGCATTAAGCTTTTATAGGTCCCACTGAACTCAGCGGGTTCGTCCTGGGGTTAGATGCACCCAGAACATGCTGCTAAATTTTCTTCTGGCGGAGGTGATGAGGAATGGGCGTGAATATCATTTGATTCAGCTTTTAATAAGAACTGATAAGCTTCATGTTCCTGTGGAAGTGGAACAGAAATCCTGCAATTCATAATAGAGAAGACCAGACAGACACCTTTGAAAGGTGGGAGAAAATGACGCTGCCAGATTGGTACACACCTCGGATTAGAAATCAAAACCTATCTACCAATCTCTCGGTGCTTAGCTGTTCAAAAAAAGTCAACAAGCGTATGCCCGTGTAATCCTTTCCAAAGTCTTAATCTGATTTCAAACAGTTTAACATGCAATAGAGGCAATTCACTAAGTCGGTATAGCTCTTGCGATCCTTCTGAAATCCATTGGACCCATGCGCGGGCATTAAGGGATTGTTTCCAGTTCTCTCTCTCTTTCTTTCACTCTTACTCTCTCTCTCTCACACACACTGTTTGTAATGATCATGCAGATGATGTGGGGATGATAAACTTTATCTTCCTGCCTGTGGTAGTATGGGATCTGGGTGAGGAGACAGAGAAATGCAAGTACAGGGGACACTTTTATTATTAGGGATTCATGTCTAACATCCATAAATAGCTTTATCTAACGTTTCACATTTTTAAAAAGACATTAAAAATCTGCTGAAGTTAATGCATATCCAAACTGAGCTGTTGTGGATACAACTATTTATCTCATGTGCAGGAACACAAGGTTTCTTTTCAGGAATTCAATAAGACTCTTCTGTAAATGCTTTTGGACAGCTAGTGATGCATCAAATGAGATCCGTTAGTTTCTGTACTTTTCCAAGTGGCAAACATGAGCAAGGACCGGATGACTCAGGACTCCTTGATTTGAGCTCAGCATGGCAACACTTGTTCTTGTCTAATGATTTGA